CAAATGCGACTAATTTTGTGAAGACCGCGATCAGCTCAGCTCGCGATGCGACAGGACCGCGACCGCCTAATGCGTTCCCTCCTTAAAAATGCCAAACGAGTTTTTTCTGACTCTGCTTAGTAATAGTTCTATGGAATATTTTCCCAACAATAAAACAACCCAGTTTAATACTCAACTTCCTAATTCTATTAATCTTGAGGGAGAATGGCTAGTGGGTCTAACAGAGTTTCAATATCCATGTTCTCTTCTCACGGTGAGAAAAACCCAAAATATTGTATACTTTAAAGAACTAAAGAATGCGAAAACAAATACATATGTATATGACAAAGTAAGAATAAATACAGGTAGTTACGATAACATAGATGACCTGCTTGCAGTATTAAATTCTAATACTCAAATAATAGGAAGACAAATAACTTTTAATATGGATCAAACAACTCATAAAGTATATGTAAATATTCCTGAGGACAGCAATGTAATATCTATGACTTTTTCAACTTACATGGCTTTACAATTAGGCTTTGAACCGGATCAAAACATGTTAGACAACCGTCATGCACCGCATCCTTCCAACATAATTTTGGGGCTACCTTCGCAATTTTTTATTTATTGTGATATTATAAGTCCTCAGATTGTAGGAGACACTATGGCTAAATTAATTCGTAACGTAAGCGTGGATAATTCAAAATATGTTTATGGGAGTCATAAAATGAAAGTATTTTCACCGACGCACTATGTTCCTGTTTTAAAACGTGAATTTGAGAATATAGAAATTGATATAAGGACCGAAACCGGTGAATTAGTGCCATTCTTATTTGGAACTGTCAGTGTTAAACTACACTTTAAAAGAATAAAATGACCGTAAAGTGTTTGTATAACGATTATTATGTAAATCAAGCTGGTTCGGGCGTGGGAGCTGTGTATAAAGGCGCCTATTACCAAAAAGGGCGGGGCATTGGTAGTTTTTTAAAAGGATTATATAGAACTATATTTCCTTTAGTTAAAAGTGGAATAAAAACAATAGGAACAGAGGCTGCTCATACTGGTGTTAATTTTTTTAAGGATATTATTCATAGTAAACCACCCAAAGCTGCTTTTAAAGAACGTTTTAACGAAGGTACAAAAAATTTACAAGCTAAAGCTATGAAAAAAGTCGACGAAATGGTGGGGTCAGGTCGTATAAAAAGAAAGAAAGCTATTAAAAGAAATCATAAAGTATTAGCTATTGAAAGTAAGAACACGCGCAAGACTAAAAAACGAAAACTCGAAGATATTTTTGGTTAAAATAAAAAATAAAAACAATGTCTTTCATCCATAATCAATCGTGTGAGTGTATTAAAAGTGAACTGGACTTATTCGCCATACCTTCAACGCAAACTAGTGTAGAGTCCGGGCAATGGATTCATTATAAACCTCTTTCATCTTTAACGGATCAAGCACCTCTGGAATTTGTTATACCTGGCATAGGTGATGAATATTTGGATTTATCTCATACTTTATTGCATATAGAAGCTAAAATATCTAAACAAGATAATTCAAATTACACAAACGCAACAGAAGGTGAAAAAACGATTGGCCCTGTAAATAATCTCCTGCACTCAATGTTTAGTCAAGTTGATGTTTATTTAAATCAAAAATTAATTTCTCCACCAAACAACACATATGCATATAGATCATATATAGAAACATTACTTAATTACGGTCCGGAAGCATCAAATTCCCATCTCACTTCAAGTCTATGGTATTTAGATACAGCTAAATCAATGGAAGAAATAAATGCAAGTAATGTTGGCCATACACAGAGGTGTAAGTTTACATCATCAGGAAAAAGCGTAGATTTAATTGGGCGTCTTAGTGGCGATATATTTAATCAAGAAAAGTTTTTAATGAATGGTCTCGAACTCCGCGTAAAACTAGTTAGATCAAGAGATAATTTTGTTTTAATGGCTCCAGCTAATGAAGAACCAAAACTAAAAATTATGGACGCTACCCTTTTAGTAAGAAGAATGAAAATTAACCCATCTGTGTTGTTAGCACATGCTAAAGCCTTACAACTAGCACCTGTTAAATACCCCATAACGAGGGTTGACGTTAAAGTTTTAACTATACCCACAGGCATTCAAGGAAAATCATTGGATAATATATTTTTGGGTCAGTTACCGAAAAGGTGTGTTATGGGCTTTGTATCAAATAGAGCATTCAACGGAGATTATACAAAAAACCCGTTTAATTTTAAACACTACGATATCAACTTTTTATCACTGTATATTGATGGTCAGCAAATTCCTTCTAAACCGCTTCAACCCGATTTTGATAATGATAATTATATAAGGTCATATAATACTTTATTTTCTGGGACTGGAATACACTTTTCAAACAATGGGCTTTGTATTGATAGAATTAATTACAAGCACGGTTACTGCTTAACAGCGTTTGATTTAACTCCCGATTTATCGGCAAACACAATGACTCACTGGAATCTTATTCGAAATGGCAGTCTACGCGTGGAAGTACGTTTTAAAGAAGCACTTTTGGAAACAGTTAATTGTATTATTTACGCCGAATTCGATAATATTATTGAAATAGATAAGAATCGTAATGTAATAGTAGATTACAGTAGTTAGGTATATAAATATGTAATAATTATTCTTATATTATAAAATGTATTAAATAAATTTTCTTGAAATTTTGTTTTTATTTTCTTTAAAAGCACCTGAACCTTAAATATACTAACTGACATAGAAATTGCAACACCCAGAAGGAGGTGTCCAATTTAAATAATTATTTGTTCAAATATATGTACTATAGCTAGGAGTAAACCATTAAAATTTGGTGAAGAAATATGCAGTCGTTCTCATGTAAACAATTTTTTTCACGATTCAAAGAAATTGTTTTAGTTGAGTTTTTTGCGGTTCTTTTTTTCTATTTAAAAAAATTTTACTGTTAAGTTGGGAGTTTTAGTAATGTTAAAATGCCTAGAGCACGAGTACGCGGAATTTATCGCCAACTGAGTGAATTTGAAAGAGGCCGAATTATTGGTCTACGGGAGGCGGGTTTTCCATTTCGTGAAATCGGCAACCGCACTAACAGAAATCCAACTACTGTAATGAGATGTTGTCAAGGGTGGTTTGATAATGCCCAAAACCGGAGAAGAGTAGGCACTGGACGTCGAAGGCGCACAAATGAAGTTCAAGATCGACGTCTAAGACTTATGGCCTTCAGAGACCGATTTTCGACTACTCGATCTTTGGCTGATGAGTGGTTAGGAGAACAAGGCCGACTTTTAAGTGTCCGAACGGTTTACCGCCGTATAAGGTCTTTTGGACTGCAGCACTATCGGCCCCATCTTGTGCTACCTCTGACCGCTGTGCATCGACGGCAACGACTACAGTGGTGTACAGAACGACAACATTGGAACGTGGAATGGCATCAAGTCGTCTTCTCTGATGAATCCCGATTCTGCTTAGATGGACTTGACGGCCGAAGAAGGGTCAGACGACGTCGGGGAGAAAGACGTCAACCTCAGTTTGATGTTGAGCGTCATGTACACCGAACAAAAGGCGTTATGGTATGGGGTGCTATTGCTCATGGAAGTAGGTCACCTCTAGTCTTTATTAGAGGCAACATGACAGCGCAACGTTATCTTCAGGAAGTAGTGGAGCCGTATGTTCTCCCTTATCTTAATCGGCTTGTGGATCCAATATTTCAACAAGATAATGCGCGGCCTCATGTTGCCAGAGTTAGTTTGAACTTTTTTGAAGAGGCCCATGTGAATCTAATGCCATGGCCAGCCAGATCCCCCGACCTTTCGCCCATAGAACATGTTTGGGATGTGATGGGTAGAAGGCTAGGAAATCTACCTCAGCCCCCAAGGACTTTGGAGGCTCTAAGACATGAAGTACAGGTAGCTTGGGATACTATACCTCAAGAAGAAATAGACCACCTCATTCAATCAATGCCAAGGCGTGTTAGGGAGTGTGTAGATAATCACGGTGGACCAACAGATTATTAACAAAATTAATAAAAAAACTTTGAAAATCCTTGGTATTTTTTCTCCAAATTCTAATCGTTTACTCCTTGATATAGTACATATATTTGATCAAGTAATTATTTAAATCGAGCACCATCTTCTGGGTGTTGCAATTTCTTTGTCAGTTAGTATATTTAAGCATAACTGTATGAACTTTCAAGGTACAAACGTTGAGATTGTGGAATGTATTCATCCGTAGTTATAAAATATTTACGTAGATTTTTACCAAAACACGTTCATACTGGAGTTTTCCCCGTTAATCAAATACCCCGTTATATTAGTAAGCCTTTGGCTATAGTAATTAATGAAGATCCTGATTATATGCCTGGAAGCCATTGGTGTGCTGTTTTTATCGATAATAAGGGTAATGGATGCTATTTTGACAGCTATGGCAGACCGCCTAAATATGCTGTAAAAATGTTTTTAAATAAAAATTCCAAAAAGTGGATATACAACTCTAATGTAATTCAAAACTGGTTTTCTACCGTGTGTGGTCAATATTGCATATTATTTTTAGTATGTTTAAGTAAAAAATATACTTTAAATAATTTTTTACACATGTTCTCATCTAATACACATAAAAATGATGTAGCTGTAAGAAAAATGTTTCGTAAATTGAAATAAAAACAAAAATCTTAAATATGTTTTTTTATTATCTTTTTTTTCAAATATAAGTGAAACAGAGGTATGTAAACAATATTTTTAAAAATATATAATTAATATAAATAATAAATTCTATTATAAATATCACAGGTAAGAAAATAAAATTATATCAATAAATAATTACATGATAAACTATATATAATATATAAATAAATTAAAATATAAATAATTACATGATAAACTATAGAATAGGTACAAATAACTATAAATAAATTAAAATATAAGTAATATAATTACATAATAAATTCTAACCTAATAAATAAAATAATAAATATATAAATATATTAAAACATAAATTACATATAAGCACATATTAAATTGTAGCTTAATAAATATAAGTAAATAAATAAATTAATATATATAAATAATCACATTGCATATTATTTTATGAATTTTCTATTATTATTTTTATGCTGGGTTGTCTTCTTCTTCTTTTGTATTCAACTCGAACAGTGGAAGCATAGTCAAAGTGCGTGTCCTACTATAAAATTTAAATTAAATATAAATTATTATATATATTATTTTTCATACCTCTACATGTTCATCTTTTTTTTATTTTACAAAGTCCAACCATCCATATAAAAAGGAATGTCTTTGTTTTCATCTTGAACCGTAGTAGTAGCAGTGGCAACTTTTGATTGCAAGTCCATCTAAAAATTTAATTAATTATAAATTATCACATGGGTTTTAAGTTAAATAAATACACCGAAAATATTTTAATTACCTCCTGTTGTTCATCATTTACACTATTATAACCACATGCTTCTTCCTCTTCTAGATAGCCATAAGGGACGGTATCATAATTGCTGTCTATTCTTCGCCGTTTGGTATAGCCAATTCTATAGATTTTTGACTCCGGACGCGATATTATATCGTAATTCGACGTAATACAAATTTTACGGGTGTTGTGTACATATGTCGCTTCTGCATTATCGCACACCATGGCTTTCAAAGTTTCAAAATTTACGTTTTTACAGCTTTTTGAATTAATAGTTATACCCTTTACTTTGCACACAGTATTAAATTCTTGCTTGCCCGCGATATAAATTTTGTAGGCGTAATTTTTAGGCCCACCGCTAACAAACTCTGTAATTTTACTACCAGGGCCGTATTCAGCTACTTCGTCTGTTAACATACCTAAATAGTCACCTACGTCGGGCATCCACTCACCCTCTTTATGCGTGAATATAACACTATCTGTGTCAAAGTAAAGTACTCGTTTACCTAGTTTTTCTAAATAGGAGTAAAGCTCCAATCGCGCCATAGCCGTGGTATACGCTGCTATAGCGACATTAACGGTAGAAAGGGGTGAAACTGCTTCTTCGTGTTTTTTCCAACTAATAAGAAGCATTTCATCACTAATAATTACCATATTGTTAACAATAATAGAAGAGTCTGTTAACATGTCAAATAGTTCCTGGGGGGTGCTAATTACTGTTGTTTGCATAAGGTTCTCTCTCTGTCCGAATTTACCCCAAAAACTATTTAACATTAATTTAGCAATAAATCGCATGCCCGGATTATGACAAATTTTTGTTTTATCCAGGAGTATACCCTCGTGCTCAAAATATGCTTGAATATAGGCATCTTTAGATTCCTCCGTAGTGCACCAGCTAGGCCAGCCACTACACTCTTGCTTAATTTTTAAAAATGTATCGACATATTTTGAGAAAAGGCCCCCAGACTTAGTTTTGCGGTCGAATTGAGTAACTTTATACTCCCATACCTCATAAATTTCCAAGATTTTATAATTTAAAGAAATAGCTTTCCTCAATTCATCGGCTACGAAGGTACCGGTAAACTTACGCTCCTCTTCTGTATGCAGACATTTTCCCTGATACAATGACTCTACACAAGCTTTACATAAGGGGAACATTAGTTTATTGTTACATTTATACGGTAGAACTGGGTGGTATAAATTTCTAGGTGGAAGAACCGAGCATTTAATAATACCTTCTACCGTATCCATGGGCAGTTTCCTGCACGCTTCGTCACCAACATGAGTCTGTGGACGGCCAATGGGATATTTTTTGTATTTATTTACAAAAGGGTATAAGGAACATGCATCGCAATAGTGGATTTTTTCATTATTTATGTCCGATATTTTATGGTACAATTTTACAGCATTTGTACGACCACCAAAGAAGCTTTCGCGAGGATTTAATGGTGACTCTATGTATTTTTTATAATTATTATTAACATAATCTCTTACGCCTTTATCAGTTTTCAACAGCTCTCGAAATTCACATTCCCAAATTGTTTTAAAATTATACCCTGCTTCTTTAATTTTGTTGTGTTTGGCTTTAGTCTTTTCGAGTTTTAAAAACATCTGTTGATTTTTATTTGTGGAATTTCGAAAAGAGGTTGTCTGCTGAGGAAAACATTTCTCACAACCATGAAAAAAACACCCGTCAAATTCGAAGACTGTGTTGGTGGTCGCACAAAAACCGTCGACTAAGAGATTCTCTTTAAGTCGGATTTCATGACTATTACCCGCGTGTTTAATATTCGGAAATAGAGATTCTTGCCAGCACAACCACTTAAGCGATATTTCGGAAAAATTATCTTTCATTCTATATCCCTTAGGTGGAATAACACCTATGGTATTAGGCTGAAGAAAATTTCTCCTAAATACTTTATTACATACGCTAGCTATTGTAGTCGCTTCCTGGAAAGGATCAATATTTGTAGCTTCAATAAAACATTCACGAAATTTTATGCACGATTTCCGTAAAATATCGACATCCATGATACAATATTTTATTATTTCTTCTTTAAAATTAAATACAACATTATTTGATATATTCTCATTATACCATTTAAAAAATTTACTACGCGCATCTAAAGTCATTGAATCGGGCATATAAAAAGAGGCATCCGGCAGAGGCCCCACATAATTACTATTTTCGGTTCTGTTAAATAGGTGTGGAAAATATCCCTTAACTTCTTCAAATTTAAAAGCGCTGGGAAGTTTATTTAAAGGTAATGGCATATAATTTAAACTATCAATAAATTTAATATTATTACATGTTATTGAAACAAATTTGCACCTGTTTCTTATAATTTGAGGGTTCCATCTATTAACGTGCTTAAAAATATGTTTCGTTATAAAGCATCCATCGTAACCTTTCATGTTGTGTGCCAAAGCGAAAACATTAAATTTTTTCTTTTCGAATTCGTGTAGAAAATTCAAAAGCGACTCAACAGGATTTTTTGAAAAAATATGTTTTCGTTTTCCACATTTAATACAATCTAAATCTATATTATCCGACGTAATACACTCAGAGCACACTTGTTCTACCACACACAAATTTGGCTCATGTAAAAATATATTACTGGATATTTCTTTTTCTTGCATGCACTCAAAGTCATAAAAGGCAAACAAAAAATCGTTCTCGAGCGATTTTTTAGTTTTGTCGCTTATAACGCTTGGTTGCATGTAACAATCGTGCCTAATAGGTTTTAAGCATAAACACGTTCGGCAATAACCACAATTATGCTTATCCTTGGTCCAGTAACTATTTAAACATGACAAACATCTATGCAGTTTCGAACACAGCTTCTCCTTATGCATATTTAAACACGCAATACCCCGGAATGTCCGTTTACAATCTTTACACGTTATTTCCTCTATATCGGAACCACAAGGGGGTGAACTATGACAATTAGGGCAGGCATAAGGACATTTAACGTGCTTTTCTCTACTACCATAGCGTTTTTGACATGGTTCACAAAAATAACTCGTAGAAAATGCAGCCGTCAAACTTAAAATAAGGTTATAATGGTTATCTTCTAATATTAAATTTATTGTTTTACGCGTGTCTTTTGGCTCCCCCTTAAAATATGTTTCACTACCTCTTCTATTATTGTACACAACAAGCGTAAAATCATTTTTTAAATAATCTTGAAAACATTTAATGTCTTCAAGATTCCCTCCATTTGAGAGATTCACGTTACAGGCCCTACTTAATTCTCTACCGCGTTGTTTTAAAAGATCAGGATTTGCCTTAAGTTTTTTAAAATCGGTTATATCACTACGATGTGCTATACCCAACGCTATAGCATAGGCTAAACAATAATTATCGTCATTATTAACAGTTACGATACCGTATTTTCTCCGGCAGAATTCCTCGTAAGTTGCTCCTTTTAGAGACACTCTTCCACGGCCTGTTGGGAGCTGGACCCTGTCGAGAGCCATAGTAAGCTGGTTGTTGGTGAAAAAACTGGAGTTGCTTTGTAGCACCAACCCTAGAGTATCAAGAATGACTGCGGATGTCATTTGACTTCTATTTTTTAAAGATATAGCTAATGGTTTGTCCGGAAACTCGGTGTTTGTGAAAACAATTCCAACTTTATCATTGTCTTCGAATCCACGCATACCATTGGTAATCAAAGAATCCAAACCGGCCTGCAAAAATTAAAATATTTTCATATAAATTTAAAAATAATAAAAATGTAGAAAATATAAATTATTAGAAATAAAAATAAATCAATTAACTAAATTACTTAAAGAAATAACAAATTGTGCTTTACAATAAATAATTACATAGATCTGCAATGAAATAGTTTTTAATACTTTCGTATAAAACGTAAAAAAAATGATTTTAAAATTTTGCCATTTAAATAACATAGGCAAACTTCCTATAAGTCTGTCGATTGTTTATTATTCTACTGCAATTTATATAGGGGCAAATAGAAATTAATTAGTTGCTCTTTAAGTGTCTGAAGCAATTTAACTACGAGTGTAATATTTTTACCTGAACACCGAAGTAATGTTTATAATAAAACAGCACTTTTGCATTTTTATGGTGAAACGGTGCAAGTTAAAAGGACACTGAGAAAAATAGGACAAATAAACTGAATAGCTAATACTTTTATTAATAGTGAATATATTGTTTATTACCTCTAAATAATAACAATAAATTAACTTTAGTAAAACATTATGTGCTATGAATAAAAATATATTTAGGGTAAATAAACATTGCTTTTGCACCATATTTAATTATTCTTTTTTTATTTGGGGACAATAAACTTTTTTCTCAGTGTATAAAATATTTTATAGCAAATAAAGTTTCCTAAAAAATGCTTTAATGAAATTACGGTAAAACGATTAAAGTTAAAAGCATGAAATAATTTATAACAGATAAATATTCCTTTTTTAAAAAAGCACTAAAAATGCTTTAATGAAATTAAATTCATAGTTTAAAGATATAGATCATTTAATAAGTCTATAGACTTATAGCCATAGCTATAGCTATTAAATATTGATAAATTAATTGAATCGGTGAGATTAAAAACAGTACTAACAACGTATTACATGTGATGTGGTATAAGCCAAATAAATATTGTTTTAGATTACTTTCAGGATAGTTTTAACGAATATTAACACTTTTAGAAAATTTAAAAAAATGCTTCAACGAAATTACGGTAAAACGATTAAAGTTAAAAGCATAAAATAATTTATAACAGATAAATATTCCTTTTTTAAAGCATTAAAAAAAATGCTTTAATGAAATTAAATTCATAGTTTAAAGATATATATCATTTAATAAGTCTATAGACTTATAGCCATAGCTATAGCTTTTAAATATTGATAAATTAATTGAATCGGTGAGACTAAAAACAGTACTAACAACGTATTACATGTGATGTGGTATAAGCCATATGAATATTGTTTTAGATTACTTTCAGGATAGTTTTAACGAATATTAACACTTTTAGAAAATTAATTTCGCAGATCTGTGTAATTATTATTAAAAAATAAAATCAAATTACTTACCGCAAGCCAGTCAAGAGGTGCCTGATCACCGACAAATTCTTTAAATCTGAATATTGTTCTTCTTGCTGTTAAATTAAAACGTGGAATTAAATGTTCGTATTCGCGCTCCAGAACGATATTGTCAAAATGTTGAGATGCCATCACTACCCTGGACTGTTTAATTTTAAAATCACAAATATTTTAGTAGATCACGAATGGTTTCACTGTATAGCGTTAAATCGATGCACAAATCAAGATATTATCGAAATCAACACTAGCACTACACGGTACTATTTAATTTAAAAATCACAAATATCGTAGTATTAGACGTAGAATTTCACTGTTCCGTCTTGGTTCAACACCCAGACCAAAATGAAATTCTATACCTGACAGAAAGGCGTTATTACTTTTTTTGTATACCTCTACTAGAGAGGCGTACCTCTCGAAAATTATTTTTAAAATCATCCCTCTCTCTAGATTACCGCCCCCTCCACCCATTACATGAATTGAGTGGGCGTGTATACCTAATATATAACAAATCCTTATTTAAAAAATTTATTCACTATTAAATATTTTGTTTATATTAAGTGTTAAAGTTTTCAAGACAAAGCGTTATAATGGAAAAATTGTGGCAAGAATTAAATAAGAAGTCAAGCAAGTGTGGCTTTATACAAAATGGCAAACATAATCCAAAAAGTTTAAAAATTTTAAGCAGGCAAGCTGTGAACGCTAGTTGCACAGTCGAAGACATACAAAGGGCTGATCTGCCGAACTGTTTAATTAATGAAATCTTTAGTGAAAGGTGCTACGACTTCGCGTCAAACTTTCCTATAGTGGATACGCTTATATTGGGCAACATGTTCGGTCCAATTATGAAGAAATGGGATGATAAGGCGTTGAGGATGTTTTGGGGCTTTAGAGTAGACAGTATTACTGTGGAAAGAATTATAAGTACGCTACTGCCCGCCAACACCTTCTTCTGCATCGAAGACAAATTTGTGAAAACGACGTTTGGCAGGTTTTGCACCAAGTGCTTGGAAAAAAAGTGCTTAGAAAAATTTGTGCAATTTAAAATTAAAAGTGTAGCTAGGCATCATGTGCCGCTTTTAACAGACGAATTTGCGAATATGCTTATGCACCCTAAGTCGTGGTGCAATTCCTGCAATCGACAAATATTATTTAAGATTGTTCCATCTGAGCATTGTGAAAATGCCTACATTATAGGCGGTGATCCTATTGGGTGTTTAGAAGACGAACCCGAAGTAATCGCTGCTGAAGAGGCTGAGGGAGAAACCAATGAATAATTTTAATTATATTTAAGTTAATTTGTATATATTTTTAAATTTTAATTATATTTAGGTAAATTTGTATATTTTAGATTAGTATTGTGTTATTATTTTTATTATATTAATTAAATTGTGTATAAATTTATATTTTAGTTTAAATTACATATATTTTTAGAATAAATTATATATTTAGGTTAAATTATATATTTTAAGTTTATTCTATACATTTTAGATTATTTAGATTAGTTACTTATATATTTTTTAAAATTTAAAAAAATGTTTTGTTTATTTTAATAAATTAAATAAAGATGTACTTATTTTATCTCATTCATATACCTATTATAGAAGCTAAATAAAATTAATTAAAAAAAAAATGTACTTACCTTTATTTTATCTTATCCACATACCTATTATACATATAAGTTAAATAAAATTAATTAAAAATGTACTTACCTTATTTATCTTATCCATACAGCTATTATAGAAGCTAAATAAATTTAATATAAATGATAAGCTGAGTTTAAAAAAGGATATAATCAAGCAAATTTAATACTTTTATTATTTTAATATAATTTTAAAATTACTAATTATTTACATTATTTGTCAAATTATAAGCAGAGAAATACATAATATAGGTAAGTTTTGATTACATAAAAAAAAGCTATAATTAAACATAATATCTATTTGCATTTAACGTGATATTTAACTTACGACCTATATTATTATATAAAAAATAATCAAATTTATTGAGTAATTCCAACCAAATCATGTAATTATTATATCTTGGACAATTTTCTATAAAACATTTAAACATATTATTATCATAAAAGTGCTTTTCATCTCGAAGAATTTCTACTACAAGATCTTGTAAAATCGAATTAAACGTATCCGATAAACGTAATTTTTCATATTCTTCACACATATATTCGTGAAACGATTTTATTTTGAGTAGTTTTTCCAATGTAGCCTTTTGAAAAATATCGTATTTTTGGGATGATTTCTCAATAATTTTCACCAAGGCCCTATTATTCGGTAAAATTGTAATTAAATGAGTGGAGACATTATACTCATCTCGTATGCTGTTGCTATCCAAAACATCGGGTAAAATGTTAAAAACTTCATTAAATGCATTTTGACTGAAAGTTAGTGCATTGTATTCTTGTCCTGTTTTAAATAACTTTATTGTAATGGAGAAATCATTATACGGGCTAACTCCAATATTATAGAAACGGCTATTGGATGGCGTTATAGGTATTTTAACTTCTTTCAGCAAATTATTGCTTTCGTATTCTTCATTTTTTGAATTGTTTTCAAATCCAGTATTTCTGCGTTCACCCATTACTAAAATAAAATAAAATAATGTTAAATATATTTTAAAATATATACCTAAATATAACAGATAAATTATTTAAACAAATATGTACTCACTTTTATTAAAAATTATTTTGCTGTCGTCTTGTAAATATAGTTGAATATACTGATAGTTCTAATTTTTAAACTCGACTGTGGTCCTGGTTTTAACGTTTCCTTTTATATTAAAAGTTACAGACGAGTTACAACCTGTAGAACAGCTATGCATAGGTTACATATGTTTTAGCCCTTTTTATGTACTTTACTAAATATTCTATACAATTTCTTTAAAAATATTTATATTGTTAAATGCCGAGTAACTGTTAATTTATATTTTAATTTGTAAAGGAATTTTATTGCTTGCGAAAAATTACATAAGGAAAGATTTAAAAATATACTTACCTATATAATTGTTTAATTTTCAAAATAACCATAAAGCTATTTTGAAATTACTCCTTTGTATTCTACTTACACTACTTTCAGGTAATTGTCAGAAAGACCGTCCTAATAAAACTACACAAATTACTTTTCTAAATCTTAAATCCCGGTACCTGTATAATAAAATTTTATTTACACTGATTCCAGGGATTTATTTATTGTATACAAATTTAAAATAACCCAAAAGCTTGCAATAAAATTTTTCCTTTATTATCTGAAATACAGTATCTGCTTTTATTTAAAAAAAACACGTGCATTTCGCTTTTCAAAATATCGTCAAGTAAATTTATCACGTCAAAGAATAAAACAGCATTGTCCACTTTTATTGTACCAAAAATCTTTTGAAGTAAAGTAAAACCATTGAATTATATACCTTTTGCTAGGACGGCTATTTTAATATATTAAGCTTGTAAATTTATGGTTATTTTATATGCCTAAAAATACTACTCTATTGTAAATCCGAACACCTGAAAAATAAAACTGGCTTTAAAATGAAAAATACACTAAAAGTATTATACTAATAAAAAAACTTTCCTTTTGCCATTTCGGTTTTTATGTACATCAAATATTTTGAAAAGACCGACTAACAGATTGTGTCTTGTCAATTAGCCAGGTGCTACACCTGTGCTTTTTTTATAATAAAGCACACCTGATTCCTATATCCTGAGATATACCAAGCTTTTTTTTTTCAAAATTTTAACTTGTCATACATAAATTACTTTATATATAATATTATAATAGAAGCTATATTATTATTGAATAGGAATTCTAAAACCCAATAAAACAAGTTTC